AAAAAGGAGGCGAATTAGGTGCATATATAGGAGAGGAGGTGAGAATTTATTGTCTTCAATCGTAAGCACAATATTCTACCAAAACAATCCTAATCACAAGCTCAGTTTCCACCTTATGAGTGTGTTTGTTTTAATTTATCAAAAATAATTATTAATCGTTGGTTTTAATTAAATAAATTAAAGTGCATAGATTATAAATAATAAAAATGAGCAATTATCAAATATTAATTATAAATTATCAATTACACTTAAATAATCAATTCAAACACTCCGTTAGTCTTATTTATCAAGTTGTTAAGCTAGATTGATGATTTTGATTTCCACTATTATGTATATTGCTTCATCTATAAAGTGATGACACAATCTTTTTAATTCACAATACTTGTTTCTACTGCCTATTATGTGAAATCTTAATAATTGAAATGATTTTGTAATAATTTTATTTTTAATGTAAAGACTTTCATACTCTCATCACCATGGTTCGAACATGCGCTCTTCCTTCCCACCCTCCTTCCCCATTGACTTAAACCAATTTCTTTAGTACACAAGGAAAGAAAAATACTTGTCTCTACAATCTACTATGAAAACAGATTCATGATATTAGATCCAAGATTTCATATCCACCCATTTGTCAAGTATCAATCTCAATGGAACTACAGAAGAGATCGGGAAGAAGGAAGAGGAACCAAAGTCAAGGTTCCAAACTTTTTTTTTTTTTACAATAACAATGATTAATATATAAGTTAATTTTATTAGTTGTTAGTAACTGAAAATTTGATATGTAGATCTGGTAAATATCTCACCTCCCTTAATGAGACGCGCGGCCCATCAGATTGCTTATTGGAGTTCGGTTCCAAATTTGTTTGAGCATTAATTTCATGCATTGGATTACACTGTTCGTTAATTTCTTCACTTATATATCATGAAGCTAATGAGTTGACTCTTGTTGCTTCTTCCCCTTCTTTCTTCCTCCCCCGGCCGGCTGCTACCTTTTAGGTGAGAGGTCATATAAATGTGGGGATGGGATTCCAAGTTATTGCTTTTCTTGGTCCTCTTCCCTTGTCACCATCCAAAGATCAATTTCTCGCCACATTTTCCTCTTGGGTGATTGATTGTAAAGCAAACCTAACATCACATGTGGAACCCATATTTCATATGAGCTACTTTATTAATTGTCCATTACTTTTTAGGATGAATGTATTCATTCATATATTTATTTCTAATACAAATATTATTAATAATGAGACTCATATTATTTATTCAAATTCTTATTAATTAGTTACACCATATCAACCTCGACTTAACATGTTAAAGTTTTTCATGTCAAATGTGGAACCCATAGGTTCACATGACATGACAAATTTTTTATGGAAGCTAAGGGAAATTGGTAAGTGTAGAGGACGCTACATATAGGGCAACTAATTAAGTTAAAATGTTAATTTGTTAATTATTTAAATTATTTAGTGGTAATTTTATTTTGATAAAAATAAAATATTATGAATTTGAATGACATGTAAATAGAATTAATTAATAAACGTAAGAGAATTATTTTTTTTATATAATTTAAAATAAAAAAAAACAAGTTAATTTTAGTTGTAGAGTGTAATTAATAAGAATATATAGTTAGTTTTAAATAAAGTACTAATTGAAAACTATGACAAAAAATTAAAAAATTAGAAAAGATAAATTTGTTAATAAAATTAAAAAATTTTAATTCACTAACAGTTTAATACAAAAACTATGTTAAGTAGTTTTTTCAATCAGTTAATAATTTGGACTTTAATTATTATACGCTAGTCTAAACTGTTAAATAAAAAATTTTATCAAATTTTTACTTAATAGTAATTTTAAAATAGATAAATTTATCAAACACTTATTTTTAACAATTTAAACAAAATCACTAACAGTCACATTTAAATTATTATACCAAATGAGACCTAAATGTCTTAAGGATATGTATTGCCTAAAGCAAGCTGGCCTTTATGATGATAATAACAAATAATGTGCCATTAATGAAAGAGCAAGGTCATTATTAACAAAAGCAAAGACACTTAATCAAATCAATTTGTCAAGCACTGCTAGCTGCATTCTGCTTTTAATTTGTCAAGTGCATACTATTTTTTATAAAAAAATATTTTTTAAAAGCGCTTGATCAACCATAGGTCGAGTGCAAGTACGGCTGATTTTGTCAATATATACATATATAATATGTTTAGAAAGAAAATCTAAGACATAAAACAATAAAATAAAGAAATGAGAGGATAATTAAAGCAGCACATGGCATTGGCATAAGACAAATGATTATGAATCTGTTAACAGAGAAAATAGTTGGCCTACACCTACTGATAGTAAAATGGAAATTCTCTTCTCTGTGCTATTCTTATTCAAACACCGCCCCCAAACAAAAGTCCCAACCTTCTTCTCTCCAGGTGTCACCCCCATGGAAAAAAGTTCTAAACTTCACAGTGTTCTTAGGCCAGAAATCAGAGACTCAGAATCCAGGAGAGAAATGGGCGTTTCAAGTTCATTCAAAGACCAATCTCACACTCCCTCCCTTACCAGGAAGCCTTGGCCCTATACCATATATGCTCTCCTCCCCATTGCTATTTTTCTTTTGTTCTTTTACCGTCTACCCCTTCTTCCACCCTCAACAGATCAGCTTCCCAGGAGTAACAGACTTATCCTCTCGGCTTCTGTGCCTCCCTCTTTATCTTCTTCGTCTTTCTCTCAAGGTACATTCTTTCTGAAATTGGGTGTCTTTTTAGGTGTTAAAGTTGGTTGCTTTGATATGTAGGATTTTGGGTTTTGTTATTGACAGGATTTTTTTCTTTTTTTGTTTGTGTGTTTTCTTGTCTGTAGAAGAGAAAATTGTTAATGAAGCTCCATGTGACTATACCAATGGAAAATGGGTACGTGACAAATTGGGGCCTTTGTACAACGGCACAACCTGTGGTACGATCAAGGAAGGTCAAAACTGCATCACCCATGGAAGAGCCGACTTGGGTTATCTTTACTGGAGGTGGAAACCTAGACAATGCAAGCTCCCAAGGTTTGATCCCAACACTTTTCTTCAACTACTTAGAAACAAACATCTAGCTTTTGTGGGTGACTCCATGGCTAGGAACCAGTTGGAGTCCCTCCTTTGCATGCTTGCCACTGCGTCTACGCCTAACCTTGTTTATAGAGATGGGGAGGATAACAAATTTCGTAGATGGCATTTTGCTTCTCACAACATTACTATTTCAGTTTATTGGTCACCTTTTCTTGTTAGAGGTGTTGAGAAATCAAAAACTGGTCCAGATCATAATGAGTTGTATTTGGATCATGTTGATGAGAAGTGGGGGAATGATTTGGAGCATATAGACATGGTTGTGTTATCTATTGGGCACTGGTTTCTACACCCTGCAGTTTATTATGAGGATGACGAAGTATTAGGTTGCCATTACTGCCCTGGACTCAATCACACTGAGATAGGATTCTATGGTGTTTTGAGGAAGGCCTTAAAAACAGCCCTTAAGACCATAATTGAAAGGAAAGGGGCTAATGGGAAGGGGACTGATGCTGTTTTGACCACATTTTCACCTTCACATTTTGAAGGTGATTGGGATAAGGCTGGTGCCTGTCCCAAGACACAGCCTTATAAGGAGGGAGAGAAGGTGCTTGAAGGAATGGATGCTGATTTGAGAAACATTGAGGTTGAAGAAGTGGAAGCTGCTAAAGGGATTGCTAAACAATTTCAAGGGTTAAGGGTAGAAGTGTTGGATGTCACCAAGTTATCATTGATGAGGCCAGATGGCCACCCGGGGCCATACATGTACCCATTTCCATTTGCTAATGGGGTTCAAGAGCGTGTGCAGAATGATTGTGTACATTGGTGCTTGCCAGGCCCTGTTGATACTTGGAATCAGATCCTATTAGAAATAATGAGGAGATGGCAGATTCAATCATGGGTAGAGGAATGATGCATTTACAATATCAAAAAAATGTCTTTGTTCTACCTTCATATGTCGCCCTACTTGGTTGGTGCGTATTGCTCCTTCAGAACGGCCATAAGAAATGAAGATAATCTGTTTGGCTTTCATATGAAACCAATGAAATGGAAAGATAGTTGTCAGCAAGGAGAATGGGATGAGAGCTTAGTGGCGACAAGGATGTTGTTTATTTATTTAATTTTTTGGAGCATTTGTTTGTTGCTTTTATGTTCAAACGTGTATAAATGATATTTTGTAGAGGAAAAATTAAAATTCCTTGGCAGTTCTTTCCCTCTATTAGTGCCTACAGTGGGGATTTCTTTTAATTCTTGTGAGTAAAACAGGGAGTTAGGTGATGAGTACAGCATGTGTAGTATAGATGCATAGAATCATCATACATGTTTTAAAATTTTCAAATTAAAACAATGTCTGGTCCTACATATACAGAGTGGCATTGATTCCTTTAAACAAGTTCTATTTTGTAAAAGCAAAGCTATGAAGTTTGATTGGTGGTGTGGTAGTGTATTACTTACTCCCAACTACCTTAAGCCTCAAAATTTCTTTGTTTTTGAAACTAACCATGGCCAATGTGAGCCTCATTTCAAGTCAACGGAGAGTGCCTGTCTCTTTTTTATTGGCTCAGGAATTACTAGCTCAGGGGAATCCAAAGAAACTTTACCGAGGGCCAGTAGGATGCTTGACCCGGACAAGAAGAGGAGGCAAATTTCCAAGTTGCCAAAGTTGCTGAGAAAAGAAGGGTAAATAAGGACTGCCCTTTTATAAAGAGAGGAGAAAGTGTTATAGTGTTTGCCATGGACATCCATTCTTCATCATTATCGCTACTGATATCTTCTCCCCCACACTTGACATCCCAACAAGCTGTTCCTATCATTACAGGTCTCTTTCTGAGAAGTTCAACAGTTGAGGAAGAAGGGGAGCTGCTTGAGCTCCAAATTCACATGTAAGAGGGAAATAACTATCAAAACACACACTCTATGCTTCTTCAAGGCAAAATTGAACCAAGTTGACACCATATATGTTACTGGTTATCTGAGAATATCTTTAAGCTTCTAAGGATACATTTAGAGTTTAAGCTTCCAAGAGTATGCAAGTCAGAACTCTCAAATTTCTTGTTTTGTTTAATAGGCTGATTGCTTTCAATCCTACGTTTTCCTTAGAACCTGTGCGTCTCCATTTGAAAAAGTGGCAAAGGTCATTGTATTAAGTTATTTCAGGTTATAAATTAAACAAAAAATATTATTGAAACTAATCACTTGTGTAATTCATCATCACCCCTACTTCACAACTTCTAGAAAACTATAGATCCTTAAAGACAGATCTTAAAGCTTGGTGAGTTGGTAAGAGCTGGACCGCAAAATTTTAACCAAAGGAAAATGCAACATGTGTCCGAGATATTTTGATGTCAACTACACTTATTTGTGGTTGGAATTCACGTAATTTTTTTTTTTAAACAAATTTACAAGAAATCATATTCAAACCGTTATCCATGAAAGAGAGAGGCACTTAAATAGAATTTGATGCTTTTAGGTCTAAAAGCCGTGCGGAATTCACCTAGTAATTGATATTGAACAGACAGTAAACATCTATAAAATGGAGCTAGGCGCTACTATATAAAACCAGGAAGAACAAAGTAAGGAATGAAAGATTAACTAGAGAAAGAAGAGTCTGGAAGAAGATAAGTGTAATTTAAGATAATTATATAACTAAACACTAAAATTTTATCTGTCTTTAATGACAATTTTTCCAAGCATTGTAGAAAAAAATTATATAATATAAAAATAATTTTTGTAGATTTTTGTTAAAAAATTTATAAGTAAAAGAAATTTTGTGGATTTACAACATGCATAGAAAAAACGACGGATGACTTTTTGTTGAATTTCATTAGTGTTGAAATTCTCAAGAGATAAACTCTCATAAGTAAGCAGGTATTAATAAATTATTATAAAAAAATTAAATTAAAAGTATTTTAACAAATTACTTACCATTTTTTAAAAGAAACATAAAAATTAAATAAAAAAATTTATCGTATTTGATTTTTCGAGTCAATTGACAGCCAATCAACTTAAAGTGCATTCCCTTCCTCCATGAGTGAATTTCGAATCCGTTACTTGACAACTTATTAAAAAAAAAATTAATCTTTTTTATAAAGACTATTTATAATTTAATAATTAATATTTTATAATTTTATAAAATTATATTCATAAAATGACTTCCAAAATCATCTCCCTCAAGATTGAGTCAAGTTAGACCAAAAAAACAAACCTCCAACATAATACTTTGGGCTAAAATCCTGCAACTCAGCATAAGTGAAACACTTCACCTTTTGAGAAAAATTCAACAAATACTAAACCTAACTAAGAAAAATGAAATGGAAACAATTCCAAGCAGGAACAAACTATGCTTGATCATAGTACCAATTTCCAGAAGCAGTAGTTTAGTTTTCATTTTTCCGTTTATTATTAGTCGTTGAAACTGGCGGGGTTCCCCAACAGGAATTCCATCGAAACGACACTGTAATACGAACCATCAGAAAAACGGCGTAATTTTTTTTATTGAATTTCTGTCTGATAAAAAATTGCAGTCTCTCCTCTTAGACCCCAAAAACCTCAATTGCTCCTTCGCCGACTCTTCCTCTCCGGCGGCGACATACTACGTTTCTTTTTTTCTTTGTTTTTTTTTATGATGACCCATATAGATTAGGGCATTTCTTCGGCAACGAAGAGCTAGAAAAGCTCAAAGCCCTTGAGTCTCTCGTGTATTTTCAGGGCCTGGAATCTGCGATGTGGGTTAGGGTCATCAGACCAAAGAAGATATGAATTACGGTTTTACTGAGTGAATATGTTGCAATTCGAGGTTCTGTTGATGTTCTTGGTGAAGCAGGATTTGATTGAGAGGAGATGAGTGATTCCGCATTTTGTGACACTGGTGGGGTTTTACAGAGAGCGAGGAGGTGTTGAGGGAAGGGAGGTGGGGGCAGCGGGACAATGCAGGTTTGCTTTGATAAGAGGAGCAAATGCTTCTCCTCCTACACCTCCGCCCGCCTCCCAAGAATTCACCTTATATCTGTAACATGAGTGTCAGAAAGCTGCTTGTTGGATTCAAATTAAGTGTTGTTCTTCCCTTTTTAATTTGCATTCGACCTTTTTAGGTTGTAAAGATTTATGGATAAGACATTAGATGCTTTAACTTGTCGTAGCTTTCTTGTTATGTCTAAGATGTTTGTTAGACACTTCATTTCCTTAATTTCTTAATCATTCTTTATTTATGTGTTTAGTCAATTCTCATTGTATCCTTTCCAAACTTTTAGGAGGACATTGGTTGGCATCTTCTTAAGGTAAGTGAGGAACTGATATTGAATAAGATGATTTCCTCAGAAAAGAGTTACTTTTACTGTAGAATGATAGATACTGCTCCATTCAGCATGTGCCTAAAGGCAGGATATGACATTGTGAGGAACGATGGTATGTTGAGCCTATTGATACTGCAGAAGCGCAAGCACTTGATGTGCAAAAATTTCCTGTCTTTACTAGTTGTCAAGTTTCAGATATGCAAGACTCTGATGAAGAACTTCCTCATGAAGTGATAAGTCCAAATGATAATCTTTTGAGGTATATACAGTTCACCTATCTGATATAACTCATATATTCAACTCTTTCTCTATCTCATGACTCCCTTCATAAACTTAAATTTTTTTCCGACTTTTGCATGTTAAGATGACTGGGAACTTGAATTTTGATTGCAGTGTCCCTTATTTCTGATTTAAGTTCCGGGATGTATCTCAATCAGCATGCAATTGTCAACCAATTGGGTGTATTTCTTGCTACAAACTCAACCAACAGCCTGGTTTGTCCTCCTTGCTTCTAGTTTTCTGCATGGGTTAACATGGTATGTTGCAGGTAAATTGCATTAGGCTTTTAATGTTTCACATCTTTTTCAAATTGTCAAACAGCTTTTGTTTCTCTTAATTTTTCTATCCTGATACAATTCCATTAATTTTATACATTGTATGTTTTTGAGTTCTAACTTGTAGAACAGGAATGAAAAAAAGAAAAGAAATGAACATCCTTTATTGAGCTTCTTATTAGGTAGTGAAAGTGCACGTGAAGAGCCCTTTATCGTTATCAATTTATTTAGGTATAAAATACATAACAGTATCTTTATTTATGCAACACAGCACGTATTGAGACAATTGTGCTAAGCAAAACATTTAGAAACAAAAGAGATGCTAGGATAGATCCAGACTTGCAGGGAATATTTCTTTCTTATGCTTTCACTTTTCTTGATTCTCACAATTCTTCACAACATCACCAGTATCTGATTCTACTTTTGTACAGATCACTCAATCACTATCTCTTTTTCCCAGTCCCTTGTCAAAATGTGACATAGTGACAGTGATGGGTTATAAGATCCTTAATGTTGATATGATAGTATGATACAGTTTTGCTGCTGATTAAACATTTCTTAAACAATCCTAAAAGCAGGCATGATCTTGCCCAGGCCTTTTAAATTTGTATAGGTTATCAGTTGTAGCTCTTTTACACATTCATCCATTGAGGGTCTCTCACCACTCTCAACACGGACACAGCGTGATGCCAGGTTTGCAAACATA